GACTGCCCCAATCCCATAAGGGGATGCATCGCAAACTAGTATAAGGGGAAGAGCATCGCTAAACTGAATGAGTACTTTGGTTGAGGTGAGCAGGAATTTTACTGTAGAGAAGGAGGCCTGTTCCATGGGTCCCCAATGCCACTGCGTCTTAGAGTCTAATAGCCTGTGCAATGGTTCTGCTACAGTGGCCTTGTGGGGCAGGAAAGAATTGTAGAAGTTAAGTAGTCCTAAAAAGGCTTGTAACTCAGTCTTGTTCTGAGGGACTGGGCCCTTGTGAATGGCCCATACTTTGGATTCTACAGGATGAATTCCCTTGTGGTCAATGATATCCTAGGAAATCCATCTGTGAAACTGCGAAGATGCGTTTTTTCCTGTTTAATTTTAGTCCAGCATTTTTAAAACACTGGAGAACTTTTTGTAACCTTTCCATATGTTCTTGTGGGTTGTCAGCAGCAATGAGGATGTCATCAAAGTATGGGATGACACCCTTGATATTGTATGGTAAACATTCCATAATGGATTGGAATATGCCAGGGGCAATGCTGACACCAAATTGTAAATGCTTACATTTGAAAGTGCCCCTATGCGTAATGATTGTTTGGGCCAATGCTGTCTCATTATCCACTGGGAATTGCTGGTATGCTTGAGTCATGTTCAGCTTGGTAAAAATGGAGCTTTTTCCCAGGGAATGGAGCAGGTGCTGTATGATTGGCACAGGATAAGCATTTGGTTGGAGTCCCTTTTTATCGTGGACTTGTAGTCAGAACAAATACTTATGGAGCCATCTCTTTTCAAGGGTATTACAATGGGAGTTTCCCATCTAGCAAAGTCCATTGTCTCCAAGACCCCTTGCGAAATCAATTTGTCAAGCTGGGCATCCACTTTAGCCAATAATGCCATTGGCACTCTGCATGGTTTGAGGCATATAGAAGCAACATTTGGATCTAAGTTAAGGGAAATAGGAGTGCCATTGTAACAACCCAGTTTGTCATTGAAAACTTCTGAATATTCAGCAAGAAGTTGCTATAAGTTGTGGGGTGTGACTGCATTTACTTCAGTCACTTGGAGGCCCAGTGAATGGAACCAGTCCAATCCCAGTAAGCTAGGTAAGCTCCCAGTTATGATAACTTGTGGAAGGTGACCTTGAAAATTGTATTGAATATGGAACTTGCCTGTTCTGAGGACTGGAATGGATTGTCCTTGGTAGCACCTCAGGGTCAGATTGCAGGGGCTCAGCTGATTCTTGTGGAAGTCTGGTAGCAGATTCTTCAGGGTCGTCCATGAGATGAGGGATAGAGATGATCCAGTGTCCACCTCCATCTGGCAGGGGCTGCCTTCTAGAAGATCAACATTAATTTTATTAATGTTAAAAGAATAAATCAGTGACTCAGCTCTTGGGATTTGAGGTTTTTTGGTTGATTGAGATGTTGAGATGGCAGGATTGTGTTTCTTGATGCCTGACAAATTCTAGCTATGTGCCTTTCTTTTGGCACTTTAGGCAGACAGCATTCCTAAAATGGCAAGTGGATCTCAGGTGGTTTCCTCCACAGCTGAAACAAATCAGCTGTAGTGTAAGTTGTTTTCTGTCAGTGGGAAAACTTTTTCTTTGCATTGGCTGACTCACTGCTTCTTCCTCTTCAAAGTCACCATCTTCTCAGTAGGTGTTTTCGTAGTAGACAGCAGCGCTGGGTTTTCTCCCGGGAAGACTGCTTGGCTTTTGTATTTCAGCTGCGGATAAATTGGATAGTTCAGCGGCTTGAGCCTCTTCGATTGCTTGCTTCAAGTTGAGGTCACCTTTAGCCAGCAGCCGTCATTGTAGTTGAAAGTCTCTCACCCCACAGACGAGCTGGTCCAGCAGCATATCGTCTAGATGATCTTGGAAACCACATTGAAGGGCAGCTGAATGGAGAGCTGCCATGTATTCACTTATGGACTTGCCCTCTGCTTGGCTTCTTCTCCTGAATGCATGGCGGCAAGTGATATGCAATGGCTTCACGGCATAGTGATTACCGACCACCTCTTGTAGTTCTTCCCAGGAAACAGCCTTGACTGTCTGAGGAGCCAGCAGCGCGGTGGTGGTGTCAAAAACGGTGGCTGCAGAGAAACTCAGGAAATAGGCTTTTTTCCTGTTAGGAAGGATGTCAGATAAGTGTGTGGTGTCCATGATGCATTCGAACCTGTTGATATACGGTGTCCAGGTCTCGGTGGCCAGCCGAAAAGGTGGAAAATTTGGCGGTGCCATCATATCTTTGCTCGAAAGTGACTGCTCTAGTGACAGCTCGTAGTGACAGCTCTTTTTGTAGTGACTTCAGCCGTGTGGTGCTGTCTCTCTTTGCCTCAGGAATTTGCTTCAGTTTGTCAGCATCCCATCCTCACTGCCAGTTTTGTGTTTGGCGCACTGAGAAGAAGAGGTGGAGGCAATATAAAGCTTAACTGGCTTTATTGTTAACTTGTAATTTAGCCGCAGCTAGCCACAGCTGGTAGCAGCAGCTGAGAGAGAGAGACAGCTGGTTCTGTTTGACAGCTCCTTTTATACGGAGCTGTCAAATGGCTCAGCCAATCAGAGCCTTCTCCGGCTCCTGCTTAAACAGCGGACTGGAGTGAGGACTTGCTGGTCACAACAGTCATCTTGACTTTTTTGGCTACCCTGTAGTCACTCAACATCCAAAGTACAGAATGTACTTCTTTGGGAATTGCCCTTAGCTCCCACTTTTCCTGCTTATAGAAAGACCTTCCTGTTCAATCATTTGTTTTTAGTCTGAGTCTTGTTTAATGGTGGTTTTGACAATTGTGTGAGATTGTAAGCACCAATTGTTCTTAGTTTGATGCCTTCTGAATCTCTCTGAAAACAGATGGAAAACATCTACAAAACATTGCTCCATAATTGACAGTGGTTTTAAATTGCATTACAGATATGCCTAGTAAAAGCCTATTTACTAATCTACTCCCATCCACCCCAGGGAATATGGAAGTTTAAAGGGCAGAAAAAGGTTGCGTACAGAGTTTTGGACCTTAAGGTTTTCAAGATCATTTCCTTACATTCTATTATTTAAATTGGACATTATATATGCTCAACTATGAAGAGTCCATGTATAATAACAGTGTCTTGTTTTGCTTTGTGACTTGATTATTTTGGAGTTGGGCCTGGTTCAAATAAATGAAAGGGTAGCAAGATAGCATTTTGAGAAAATTAAGGATGGTCTTTGACTTATGGCCAAAATTAGGACTGAAATATCTATCTCTAAGCAGTGCAGTTTTTAAGTGAGTCACATCTGATTTTGTGACATTTTTTGTGACATACGGTTGTTTAACAAATAACGCAGTTGATAAGCAAATCCGGCTCTCTCTATTGATTTTGCCTATCAAAAGCACAATCATGAGATCCCAGAGCACTGCAACTGTCACAGACACATCCCAGTTGCCAAGCACCTGATATGACTGTGACACTTGTAAGTATGAGAACTGATTGTAAGTCACCTTTTTGAATGCCATCATAACTTTGAATAGTCATTACACGAATGGTTATAAGTCAAGAACTTCCTATAGAGAAGTACTACAGTTCTGCTACATGCAAAATGCTTCTGGGAAGGAGAAATGGTGTCAGCTGTTGTCACTGCTCTGTTGCTAATCTTGAAATGTGAAAAATCTGTAAAAGAAAGGAAGGAGAAGTTGTTAAGAATCATTAATTGGCTTCTATCCCTTGAGACCATTTATCCTTGTTACACTATAGCAAGAGTTTTCATCATGAACATGCATGGGAAAAGTGCTCTAGAACTTTGGGTACTAGTTGGAATGTTGGGATTTCATTTTGGGCACAGCTGGAATGTGCAGAATATATTTTGTGCTCATTTGCAAAGTCTCTAATCACAAAATAGCTGCTATCGAATAGCAAAACACTATCTTCATTCCCTCTTCCCTTTCTTTTCTTTGGGCAGCAGGCCATGCCACAAAATGCTAGCTGCAGCCTCCCAACAAGTCTGCTTCCTTAAAAAAGGAGAACAAAGCTTTAGAGGCTGCTGTGCAGGTTCAGAAGTTTGCTGGAAATAAAGTACACACTAGAAAGCAGCACTATGCCAGATTTCACATTTCATTTCATATGAAAAGCAGTGGTGGTATTCTACTGGTTCAGCCCAGTTCAACTGAACCGGTAGCTCCGAGGATCATCTATGAGCAAACAGGTTCTCTCCAACGATCAGCAGCTAGGTCTGCCTACCTGTCCCGACTCTGTTCTGACCTTTATTTCCTGGTTTTCAAGCTCAGCTGCTTTGTGTGGCACTGTGGATTGCCACGCGTCAGCTGTTTAACACACAGGAAGAGTGCAGGATTGCAGGAGAAGGTCAGTAGCAAACCCTCTGTGTGTGCACGCATGCATGCAAAGCATGCCCACCAAGCCACACCCACAGAACCGGTGGTAAAAAAAAAAAGAATCCCACTACTGATGGGATTCAAATTTTAAGAAGTTTTATTTAAAGAAGTAAAGTATCATTTTAGGCTGGGAATGTAGACAATACCAGGAGGACTCCTGGGACATAATGGTGACTTTGAGACTTTGGTTCTACGCATGTTGCACACTATATGCTGGTTGCAAATATACAAGCTGAAAATCAGTTAACAGACCTCCATACTTGGATTGTACATCTGTTTCACTATTTTCTTGCTATTATAAAAAGGTTTCATGGCTAAAAGTTCGACAGGCTATAACTTTTGTCAGACATAAACTACATGCTTTTTGGTGGTCAGTGGCATTATAGGATCAGATGATTTTACCATTTCAGAGTTAGAAGCATGTATGTTTAATTTAGATATGGGTATCATCAATCAATCATACATTTTTCTTTTGAAAACAAAAGAGAAAAATTAAGCATTTCCAATATGTTGCATGAAAATATGTTGGCTAGATTACACCTGTAAGTTTGTTATACTTCTGAATCCATATCAGTTCATTTTCTGTAACTTGGATGTGAAATTATGACCTGTTTCTGATTTAATTTTAATTCTAGTGGATGCAAACCAAGGATTCTACATTATACTTAGAGGCTCTGTTAAGCCACAGTCAAAGTATTATAAAAGACTTATTGGAGGACAGTTTATTTCAGTGCCTCCTCAGGCGACTTCTGCTACCAATGAATCAAACCCAACTCAGGTAGCATCATCTGATGTGGTAAGTTTAACAGACATCTATCATATTAGTAGAAATATTTGAGATTAAATTGAGTACTTATATTTTTATTCTCAATTGTTTCAAAACATATAAACAAGGCTGAAGTGCACGAAATCTGATCAAAATGCCTTTAATAAAAAGAAAAACAATTTCTGTTTATTTGTCCCTTCAAGTCAATGAAGGCTCTTGGCAATTGCCTGGATTAGTCCCTGAAGTTTTCTTCACTGTGTTGTCACAAAATTGTTTGACATTATCTCCTTCTTAGGACTGAGAGAGAAGACTAGCTCAGGGTCTACCTGCTGGCTTCAAGCCTAAGGTGGGATAAACACTTCCAGATTTCCAGTTTCTAGCCTGGTGCCATAAGACCATCTCCTCTGGGTAACCAAGGATCATATTTGCAAAAAATCTTGAAGAGTGGTGTAATGTAGAAACTGCAATCTCTCTTTATCTCATTCACAGTGAACTAAATTAACCTGATTGGCATGAAAAGGTTAGGAAAATATTGTCTGAATTTTTTTGGTGATAGATGTTATCACTTGCTATAAAAATATAGTTAATTAAAAACTTTGTTGTATTACTTTATCAGTTAATCTATGCATCACAGGAAAAATGTATTTCTGTTATATTTTTTATTTTTTTAAATTATTTTTTTTAAATATACATTACATGAACAGTGAGGTATCTGGACATCATTCATTTAAATACAAATAATAATTGTAATATTAATAATGTTTGTTACATTAATCATACTTATGTAGTTATAGTGTTATTATACATATTTATATCTAAGTATGTTCCTTTATTGTTTAGTTGTTCAATATTTGTATGCACTATTCTAATAACAATCACAATATTGTTTAAATATAAATAATATTACCATCTTTCAACATCTAATCTTTATGTCTAGCTATTACTTTTAGTATGTTATAAAAATATGTATATTACTATTCCCCCTTAGTCTTGTTTCTACCTCTAATTATTAATAATATTTATTACATTAATCATACTTATGTAATTATGGTGTTGTTATACATATTTGTATTAGAATATGTTCTGTTATTGTTTAGTTGTTCAGTGTTTTGGTGCCAGAGGTGGTATTCAGCAGGTTCTGACCAGTTCTAGAGAACTGGTAGAGAAAATTTTGAGTAGTTTGGAGAACCGGCAAATACTACCTCTAGCTGGAGATTTTACAGTATCCTTCTCCTGCCACACCCACCAAGCCACACCCACAGAACCAGTAGTTTAAAAAAAAATTGAATCCCACCACTGTTTGGTGTGCCATTCTAATAACAGTCACAATATTATTTAGACATTCATAATGGTACAATCTTCCAACATCTAATCTTTACCTCTAACTATTACTTTTAGTATATTATATAATAATATTCCCCCTTTATCTTATTTCTACTTCTATTCTAGCTTTCAACAAAACCAGTCTTATATTAAACAACATTCCCTTTCTAACCATCATCTTTTGTTCACATCAGTACTACAATTTATTTTTTGGCTTGCCTCCCAAGCTCTCCCTTGGGTCTTTGTCTCTATCTATATCTTTCCTATTTAACCCAAATATTTCTTGCATTTCTACTATCTTTTACTGCCATCTCTTCGGGGGTGGTGGTGGTGGGGTGTCTGCCCAAGCCCCTATCTTCTCCTTAAAATGTCTTTTTCTATCCATTCCCATTTTTTGATTTCTTAATCTATATTATCCCTGATTTGGTTCATAAGTCTTTATTGTCTTTCTTTTCTTGTTCTTCTTGTTGCTTTATCTTGTTGTTTTTTTTCTTCTGGTCATTCTATTATTTCCTGTGTTTCCTGATTTTTATTTGTTGTCCCTTGTTGAACATTTACTGATTTCCACACAATGTCATGCATTAAGTCTTTTATCTCTCTGTGATTCTTTGTCAACGTATTATAAATACTTTGAAGCATCAACACTATTTCTTTTTGAAATCCAGTCATCCCATCCTGTTGCAACATCTTGTCTTTTAATGGGTCCAAATATTGCTCAATAGCCTGTCAGCAGTCTGCCACTGTCAAGTCTCAATTGTCTGTAGCCTCCAAAAGCCAGCTTATAAACCATGTGTTCAGTCCTGGTGTTGCTCGGAAGGGGAATGCAATAGTTATAATTCTTTGTATCCCACAATTAGTTAGTTTCATTTTAATGATCCAGGAAGATTTCCAAATGTCTCCTTAAATCCATTCTGTAAATTCAGTCATAGATCCTAATATTTGAAAATCACTTGCTTTAAATGTCTTTCATGCTCTCACAATTAAATCTCCAGAAGCCATAAAGTAAACATACAGCACAATAAATAGCACAGCAGACCCCCAGGTGTTATATAGATCCACTTCTTTATCCTTGTCTTATCACTACTTCCCAAGGTTGTAGGAGTTTAGTAAATATTCCATTCACCAATAGATGGCGCCATCAGCTAAGATTTCAACGTTGCACAAATGACAAACCTTTATTTCTGTTTTTACAAATAGTATTCAAACAAGGGGTTCCAGCATTTTAAAATGCTTTACCAAAATATTACCAATAAAATTTAAAGATCCAATCTTTCTGTATTTTAAGGATTTAGCATTCTTCCTTTAATTCCTTTCCCCCCTTCCAGTCTATAATTTTTTTTCTCTGTAATTAATTGCTACTTTGACAAGAATTTCAAAGAGCCTCTTTTCTGGGGTTTATTTTCTTTGGGGTTAAGTTCTAAGTAAAAAAAAAATAGACTCACCTCCTCCAGTTCCAATCAATGTTCTTCTACATTGCTCCAGCACTTTCTTTGTTTCTTTGGTTGCCTCAGCTTCACGGCAGCCATAATGGCTGCCTCTCCTCTTCATCATTGGATGGGAGGGAATCCCTGGGTCCAGCTGGAGAGCTGCTGCTCTCTGCAACTTGCAGGGTGCTTCTCCTTTATTTGTCATCCTACAGGGTGACTTTAGCCTCCTGGGGGGCCCTCCAACAAGGAGGCTTTGGTGTGGGTTTGCAGAGATGTGCTTTTTGTGTCTGATTCCACTGCAACATCAAACTGGAAGTCATAAAAAATGTATTTCTGAGCATTCTAGGGTGCATCTATTGTAACTGTAAAGCAAATCCACCTTTCTATAAGACATTATGAATACTACTGATTGAAAAATAATTGTAATTTAGTTTTGCAATATTTTGCTACATTAATTCTGCCATTAAGAGCTAGCTTGGTGTAGTAATTGAGACTAGAATCCAGGAGATCATGAGCTCTAATCCCATTTTAGGCTCAAAGTCATTTGGATGACCTTGAGCCAGTGACTTTCTCTCAGTCCTAGGAAGGATACAATGGCAAATGACCTCTGAATAATCTTGCCAAGAAAACTGCAGGGACTTATCCAGGCATTTTCTGAAAATTAGACATGACTAAAGAGAAGAAAAAAAAATACTGTGGCACTAACAACAATTAAATATCTTGTTTTTAATTGCACCATTTAATATGTCCTTGAAAAATTGACAATAAAGCTACACTAAGACCATTTATTGAAGACTATTTTGATCTTACCCACCTAGTAGCATTCTCTCAAAAATTAATATCTTCCAAAACTTTAAAAGGAAAGACCAAGTTCAAATTGTCAAAGGCCTTCTTTGTCTCTAAGAAAATCAATGTGACTTGGTTTTCATTAAGTTGCTTCAAATATTCCCAAATGGCTAACCCATTTATAATATTATTCCTTAACTGTTTTTTAGGTAAAAACTCCCATTGATATCTCATGGATAAATTCTTTCAAAATTATTTTGAACCTTTCACCTTTCAGCCACAATCATTATAAACAACTTATAATTATTATTTAATAATGATATCAATTTATATCATTTCTTGTTGAAGTCAAATCTTGCCCCTCTTTAAGTATTAATGTTATATTAGCCTTGCCCCCTCCCCTTTCTGACATCTTTCCTTTTGTAAGGTGGAATTCATCATATTTTGTAAAGGTTGGAAAAGTTAATCCACAAAGTATTTATAGTAAGAAGCCAATAATCCATCTGGTCCAGGCAATATGGACCAGATATTTATCACTGTTTTAGTCTTTTTGTATAACTTTACAATCTTCCTTTATTGTTATGAGTCCATTCATAATCTGTTTCTGTTTCTCTGTGATCTTCAACAAATTTTGTTTCTTTAAATATTCATCTATTTTCTGCATGGAAATTTTTTCTCCTTTGTATAAAATGGGATAAAATTTATGAAGTAATTTTTGCATGCATATATTGTCTGTTATTACAGTATCTCCCTCCTGTAGTTTCAATATTATCTTCATAATTTGAATGACAAATTATGAAAATTGGTTTATTTGCAAACTTAAATCTTTTGTTTTGCATAATGGATTATCTTAGTGTTAAAATTGATAACTGTCCCCAAGCTTAATTTGTTGAAAAACATTTGCCTTCTTTTATTCTTCTTTTTTTCTCAATCAATATAGCTTGTATGTTCTTACCTCTTCTTTTTGAATTCACTTTTATGTTGTATAAAGTAAGCTCTCATGAAAGTTTTGCTTGTGTTCCAAATCATTCTTACATTTGTATCTTAAGATTATTTCCATAAAAACCTATTTAAGTTTCTTTTATAGTCCTCCAATATTGCTTCCTTCAGTAACAGTGTTTCATTCAACCTCTATCTAAAATAACTGGGTTTTCCTTAAAGATTAAACAAATTGGGTTATTATCTGAAAAGATGTTTTCTTAATTAATTAAGAAAATTTATATGATCAGAAAAGTAAGTACATTCATGCCATTTTATGTATCCATGCATCAACAAGCTTGAAATTGTCCATCAAAGCAAGCTAAAAACTTGTGTAAATCTTGTGAAATTAATATTTTTCTCAGAAGTTCTGCTTACTTGTGGAGAGATCGCTCTATTCTAATCTTCCATTAGATACCATTTTTCATAAGAAAATCCATCAGTCTGTCCATAAGTTGAATATTGCTTTATTTTCATTCGGGGCATAAATTCAATAAATATCAGAATCTTAACCCAATGCAAGTTAACTTCAACCTATTTATTATGCTCACTAATCAATATAAGTTCTGGTTGTAGTTGAAGGATTTTATATAAAACAACTTCATTTGTCAGCTTTATAATCTTGATCATGCAAATTTCAAAGTCAACTGTCCTGTCCACTGAACTTTTTTGATTCTTATTAGCAATGATTTTTGATTCTTTGAGGGTGTATGGCATTAGTTCATTTCAGTATGTGGTTCAATTATACATCTTTAGATCCCTTGAGACAGACTGTTTTTGATACATTGCTACAACCTATCATCCACATGCATGCATCCAACTTATGCAAAGAGCCTTTTCTTGTATTTGTTAATAAATAAATAACAAATAATCAATTTGTTAATAAATGGGCATATAGGCAAATAGTTAAAGTATTTGAAGTCAATATAATCTATTTTAGTTAAATGGCAGGGTCTGCATCTTTATAATATGCAGAATGAGAATGATGCAGAAAATAAACACTGTAAACCAGTTAAACACAGGTAAAAGAAGAAAAATCTGAAAATTAATTCAGTATTAGAAAAGAACATACTCTATACAAAAATATTAGAGATATGATTCAGCTTTAAATGAATTTGACATTCTAAGCAACAGCAAAATTTGAATTTTTGTTTCTTCTTGTTTTGAAAGTGATTGGACTGTAGAGAATATGGCTATAAAAGCATGTCTGCAATCTTCTCTGAGAAAGGTCACTATTCAAGAATACATTTCTAATTGGGGATGGAGAATAAAAACTAGCCTGAGTTGTTCTGTGGGTTTAGTTTCTTTCTTCTAGTAAGGATATATTTACAACTGAGATGGACCAAAGCAAGAAAGCAATTTTCTACTCCATTCTTCAAATGGTGTTTATAGCTACATCCATCTGGAATTAGCTTCAGGGAGCCTGAGAACATTAACTTATGGCCTAATGATAATCAGTTTGCTTAATATTTATTTATTTCACAGCATTTATATACTTCTCCACTTACAGACAGTGTAGATTGTACTATACACCATTTCCAGGGTTTTCTGAAATAAGAAGGAAAGAAGTACTTTATGCATTTAGGAACAGTGTGTCCTGTAACAAGGGAGCAACTATAGGACATGGCTGCCTTCATTGTTCTTTCCTTTATCAGAGTAGGCCCTTAAATAGGTTACCTTTAAAAGTCCAGATAGGATGGACAGGACCATCTTTTATTAAGCAGTCCCTGATGGAATGGGACAACTCACTATAGCCAACTTTTCTCAACCATTTCTCCACAGCCATCTCACTGCGGCCAACTTGCTGCAGGACAATTTGCTGCAGGACAATTTGCTGCAGGACAATTTGCTGCAGACAATTCTAGTGGGATAACTCAACATGATAAATTTTTGTCAATGGAAACAATGTCAAAGAAACAGTGGCGGATAATATTTATTGTGTTTAATTATCCCATGTGGAATTATCCGTGGCAAGTTGTCTTCCCTAATGAGTTGGCCACAGTGAGATTGCTGTGGTGGGTTGCCCACAGCGAGTTGTAGATCCATTCCTGATGTGTTATATTGTTTTCAGGAGGGAAATTCCAGGGGCAGCAATGACTAAACCCCACTCCCTGCAAAGTGCTGACTTGATTTTGTTCAAGCCATTTTATCACTATTGTGGAACATTTCAGTGATTTTATACAACTATTAAAAATATCAGCTGTCATCACAAGGGTAAACATCCAGGGTATATATTATTGTTTTGCCTGCAACAAGTTGCAGAATTGATAAAATAGAGTATATAATACTGATGTATATTTTTATAATTGTGTAAAACATAAAGGAATATTAAATATTAATTTCTATTATTTATTTTTAATTATTTTGGAAGCTTGGTGTAGGGTGCTGTTTTGGGACTTTGGTACCACTCCCTTCAAAGATGAAACATGGTGTACTTAGTGTTCTTACGGAAGAAAACTGTGATTTTATCAAAATTCCATCCATTACTTACTTAAGGGTAAAAGAGGTAAGCATTTTGCATAAGAATGAAGAACCTGTGGATCTCCAATTCTTGCTGATCTTCTGTTCCGAGTGTTTTCAGCACAGGCCCTATAGCATTTTGCCAATGTCCAGAATGCTATGGCTTCTGATAGTTACTTATCTGCTTAAACTTGTTTGTATTTCCCCCTTTGAATAAAATCCTGAATGTAACCCATGAAACAAAGCACAATGCAACAGCTGGGCACTCAATTTTCTCCTTTATTTTTTTTTTCCAGCCACAGGCAAGGAGAGAGAGAGAGTCAAAAAAAGAAAAAGCAATTAAAAAACAACAACGAAGCTGTTATAAACTCCTTAAATTTAAAATGCATCTTCGTATATTTAAAATATTATATTCAGTTTTTTTTATTATTATTTTATGAAGTACTTAAATTCCCCAAGAGAGATATGAGCAGATCCTAGACAATAGATGCTACATTCCTATTCTGGGTAGTCAGAAATTGGATGCTAAGTATTGTAGGAAGTAGCCCCCTAATGAACATGTTTGAATGACTGATAAGGTGGTGAAAATTAAAACATTCTTTTATCATACTTTCCAGGCTCCTGTCCACTAGAAAAAAGGCTGGATAAAGAGTCAATTACTTTCACCCAAAGAATCCTGATTGAACTGGTAAAGGGGAAGCTTCCCTGAGCCTCATTTTAAAAACGCACAGCATAAATGAGCTTATTCATTTTCAGTTCCAAGAGAGGCTTCATTAATTTAAAGAAACCAATTCAATCAGTGTCTTCTCCCCTTACTTATTCCAGAGCTTTAATCACCAACACATCTACTTTTCCCAAACATATCTGATGAGGGGAGTTGAAAAGATTGGAGTAGATTCTTCAGCAATGATGCTGAGGACATACTCTGATATCTCCATACTTTCCAACATTTATCAATGGCCCAAATTAATTAATAAGGGACAGATTTTCCAACTTGGTAACTCCAGATATGTACTGTGTTTCCCCGAAAATATGATCTACCCTAAAAGTAAGTCCAAACTGGATTTTTACATGTGCACCAAATATAAGCCCTATCCCCCCAAATAATCCCTAATTAAGATCCCTCCCACTCCAGGGTGCACAGGTAAAAATTAAGCTAGGGTGGGGATGGGGGTGGGGTAGAGCTGCCCTACAACTTGCCTTCGGACAGTTGCAGCCAGGCCTCACACACCTCAACACCTTCTTTGCCAGCCCATTTCTTCTGCAGCCAGCAAGTCCAGCAAGGCTTTCCTGAAGGCCTCTGCAGCTGATAACAGAGCTCTGGATCTATCCGGAGCTCTGTTATTGGCTGCAGAGACCTTTAGGAAAGCCTTGCCAGCTGCAAAAGAAGAAGTTCTTGAAGGCCTCTGACAGCAAAAAGGAGGCCAGGGCCATGCATGCAAGTGAGGTGAGTCAGTGGATGACCTCCCCCCAAAATAAGACCTGGTGCCTTTTTTTGGTGGCAAATATATATATATATAATAGGTACTTATTTTTGGGGAAAACATGGGTAGGTAGTATTCTAGACTTTATTCTTTTGTGGTCTTCTAGTGTCTCTTACATACCCCAATAGGTAAATTTGACTTGGGGCTAGTTGAAGGAGTTTGGAGGATATGATGGTACTTAAGTTAAGCCCCTTTTGAATGGGTTTCACCTCTGAATGAACTAGCAATGGTTGCCGATAATCTTGCTAAAATCATTGCTTCACAATACACTATTGTCCTCTTACTATCTCAGACTCAATAAGCACTGACTAAATTTTTAAATTCACACTATTATTTGCATTTCCATTGCCTTATTAACATACCCAACTGCATTTGTATTAAATTGGAGCAATTGCCCTTTGATTGACATTGCAGAAGCCTCTGTTTGGATGTGGACCTGGAAATATCAAACCAGTTACAATTTATTTCTGTTCTAATAGATGCATTCCCTCCACATACTTCTTTGTGAAACCAACATTCATGTCAGCTATACCATTGCATCATTCTGAGTCCAAGTACTACCTAAGTATTATGACCATTAAAATGCTGCTCCATTCCCATGTGAACTTCAACTTCCAGAATTCCTAAGTAGTTTGATGGGGATTTTGGGACTTGTAAACTAATGCATTTGAATGAAGGTAGGATTATATCTGTCTATATGTTTCAATGAATCATGGCAGACTGGCTTATGTTACCCAATAATCAATGGATGTATCTAAATACAGTTTTACACAGCTACTTTTCTAATTCAACTAAATCTAAATAATTTCATTCTAATCAATATACATTAATATATAGATTAGAATGATATTATTTCATTGATTCCTTCCATTCATTCTAGGAATCCTACCTGTCTGTTCTTCACATCTGTTCTTTTTCTTACAATATTACTGCTTTTACTGCTATCTAATACTGAAACTGTCCTTTAGGAAATAGCAAAACATGAACTGCAGGCCAAAGAAGAAGTAATCCGTGGCTGTCCATATTATCAAAACTGGCCGCTGATATTTATATTTAAGCTAACTGCTCAGTTAAAATGGAGGAAGTTTCCAACAGACTATGGTGAGTATAATTTAATATGTATATCAGCATCCCTATTGATATACATATCAAGATCATGACCTAAGCTGGAACCTTTAAAATGATGTACAAGGGACTGTTTTTTTTAAAAAAAAGTGGATGGGATACACTTCCATTAGATGGAAGAGGTTATTTAAAAAACTAAGTTTAATTTCTATTTCAGATTAATATATTCAATTCTCCATGAATCTAATATTTCTCCCACATGACATCCCTAGGATTAATTAATTTCCAGAATCTCTATGGAGATTCTCTATGGAGATTCCCAGGTCATGGATGTCCCAAAGGTACTTGTTCAAGAGACAACTGGACTTCCTGGGGTATTTTTGAAGATGTTTCGCTTCTCATCCAAAAAGCTTCTTCAGCTCTGCCAGAGTTGAAAAAGCTTCTTGGATGAGAAGCGAAATGTCTTCAGTGAAAACCAGAAAGTCAGTTGCCTCTTGAAAAAGCACCTTTGAGATAATTTCCAAAATGTACAAAACTGGACAAATAAGCCTGTCCCAGGTCATATTTAAACAACTGCAAATGCCTATAACTATTGGTTTGCTACCAAATATGTAATCCAGAATCCACTTCTTTCTTCTTGCAATTGTTATAATAAGTTACATGAAAAAAATAAATTGATTATGTAATTTTTCACATGCAATCAATAATGAGTTGGGAATGGAAAATGTGCAGTGAAATAACACTCTTTTATGTTTTCTTGAACTGATTATGGGGAAATGGAACAAATTAAATTAAAATTGTCCTTTTAACAGTAATTTTCTTTTGGCACCATCTGGATCTTTAGCAATCTCTCTCAGTATTTATGTATGTATGCAGAAATAAAATATGGCATTTTCATATGACTGAACAAGGATTCTAAGTATCCACTCTGTAATCTAGAATGAAAGATAAAAATGAAAAATATCTTTAATTAATCATTTTAAAATGCTTATAATCCATTTTTTTTGCCATGACTGTTGTTCAGTTTGATTATCTAATTGTCTCACAGTGTGTTTCCCAATACTTAACAGTGTTAGCTGATAAAAGAGATTTTTTAAAATGCTAAATTTCATACAATACTTTTGTTTTTCAAATAATTTATATAATTACTTTTTTGGCTGATCTATAGTAATTTTCAATTGCTTCCATTAACTTCTGGAACACAGATTTGTTAAGGATAAGCAAGTCCTTGTTCAAATTATTAGAAATTGATATCTGATGAAGTCCATAGACTTTTACAATGACATCCTTTTTTTTCTGGTTCTTTGTAAGTTTTTAATGTTTTAATTCTCAATGTTGAATTTTTAATTTTTCTTACTGTTTTATATTGTGTTTGTATGTTGTTGTATGCTGCCCAGCATATACATTGGTGGGAATACAGTGTTGGGATTCAAATTTTTTTACTACCAGTTCTGTGAGTGGGGCATGGTGTGGCTTGGTGGGCATGGATATACTGCAAAATCTCCATTTCCACCTCACTCCAGGGGAAGGATACTGTAAAATCCCCATTCCCTCCCCACCCCACTAATCTGCTTTCCAGCTCTGTTCTCCAGTGCAGGGCAACAAAAGAAGACCCAGCCGATCAGCTGGGGCTCGGGGGACATGAATAGATGGGGGCAGGGCCAATCAGAGGTGGCATTTACCGGTTCTCCAAACTACTCAAAATTTCTGCTACCGGTTCTCCAGAACCTGTCAGAATTGCTGAATACCATCTCTGCATTTAATAATTATTAAATAGTTATATCAAATAAAATGGGTCTCCTGATCTCACATTATCGAACACTGAAATGTTGTGTTTCCCCCATGAATGTCATGCAAAAAACTTTTGTGACACCAATCCATAAACATGCAGTAAGAATGTGGAAATCTGTCACTAAAATAAAACTAGTCTGAGCAGCAGAATACAAATATTCCTCGACTTACCACCACAACTGAGCCCAAAATGTATGTTGATAAGCGAGAAAGTTATTAACTGAGATTATTTCCACTTTATAACATTTCTTGTCAGAGTTGTTAAATGAATCCCTGCAGTTGTTAAATTAGTAATACAGTTGTTAAGTGAATCTGGTTTCCCCATTGACAAAGGCAACAAAAGGTGATCACAAGACCCCAGGGCACTGCAGCCATCATAAATATGAGTCAGTTGCCAAGCATCTGAATTTTAATCACATGACCATGGGGCTGCTGCAATGGTCATAAGTGTGAAAAATGGTCATAAGTCACTTTTTTCAGTGCTGTTGTAAGTTTGAACAGTCACTAAACAAACTGTTGTAACTTGAGGACTACATGTACCATGTTTTGGTCCTCTGAAAAACTGTCCTGGGAAAACAAACTTGAGTGATGCCCTTGTTAAAACAGGCATGTCAGACTGAATCTCTTTAGCCCTAAAAATTGAGCAAAACAACAACAACCCCAGAAAGACTGAAGTCATCAATGCTAAGGGAAATTGAGTTTCAAAAGTGTTAAAAAATAAAAGTAAAGATTGTATCATTAAGTTTTATTTTTCTGTACTGTTGAGATTCTATCTCTCTATCTCGCCTTTCTGAATGTAATTCTCCCCAACCAGCAATTCCATTATTAATCAAATAATAGACGTTTGCTAAAAAAAAAAAACATTTAAGTTAGTTTTCAAAGTATATTTCCAGAATATAGACACTTACTATTAGGGACCTTTCTCTCAGTTTTAATGAGAGACTTTTACATTCTTATTGCATGTTTATGCATTGAGTTCTTTTGAATCCAGAAGAGGATTAGCACATATAATTGGTTTAATCACATCTGGTCTTTATCTGGATTTAGAATAGAATAGAATAACAGAGTCAGAAGGGACCCTGTAAGTCATCTAGTCCCACCCCCTACTCAAGCAGGGGACCCTATACAATTTCTGACAGATGCCTGTCCAGTCTCTTCTTGAAAGCTTCCAGTGATGAAGCTCCCACAACATCTGAAGTCAAGCTGTTCCATTAGTTGATTGTTCTCACTGTCAGAAAATTTATCCTTATTTCTAGGTTGAATCTCTTCTTGATCAGTTTCCATCCATTATTCCTTGTCTGTTTTACAGGCGCTTTAGAAAATAGCTTGGCCCCTTCCTCCCTGTGGCAGCCCCTCAAATATTGGAACACTGCAATCATGTCTCCCCTGGTACTTCTCTTCACTAGACTAGCCATGCCCAGTTCCTGCAACCATTCTTCATATGTTCATATGTATCTTCACATGTCAACCTTATTTCTAATTTTCTAGTAGGAATCTATTATCTTTCCTGGTAATATGAATTTGATTTTATTATTCTGTAACAAATTATATGAGCATTAAAAAGAAAGTTGATTGTACATTTGTTAATGCGGCAAATCACATAAGGTGAATAGGTTTAAATTATGGAATGTTTTGCACAACTAAGGATTTGCCAGTCTGATGAGAGAGGTACAAGATGGAAATAATTCATCCATAAAAATAAATGGTATGTTTAGTGAATAGTTCAATACTGAACAGGGTATAAGATTGGGATGCTTGATATTATCCCCTTGATAGGTTTTCAGATAAACGTATAAAATTTTGGGGGGGTGAAGTATTCTTGGAAATGGGACATTAGAGTTTGTGTATTTTTGCCTGCAGATTATGCTGCTTTGTTGGCTGAAAACCTCAATGATTTGCAAGAAATGTTAGACTGAATAAAGCAACAAGAACTATAGATCTGAAACTGAGATCTCATAGACCAATGTAACTGCACTTGACAAAGCCTGTGAGATGGATCACTGCGAGTTATATTCCATTTTTCGATAACTCTTAGTATTAGTTCTGAATCTTCAAACAGATTTCCTTTTTTCTTACCACTAGAACTGCAAATATTATTTAATCTTCGTTTGCAGACTGCTTTAAAAGCTGTATATAGTTAGGTGAACCATCATTATGTCAATTCAAATATAACAGTAAATTCTAGCTTATGCTAAAGCCAAAATAGATGCAACACAAATGATATAAACCTATTTTTGGTCCTTTGAACATAGAGAGTCATTACTATCAATACCAAATATTAGGGATTATGAAATCAGTAGACCAAGACTATTTGAGAAATCAATGTTGGAAAAGATGGATTTAAAGAATCTAGAACATAATATGTGTCCTAAAGATAAATACTGGCCCAACAATGCAGTTTTGAAATATATTCAGCCCAGGTATTTTGTATTTATATTAGAAGTTCTGGAAAAAATAGGAAAACAAATCTATATCTTATTTAATATTTTTTCTACTAAGTTCACATAGCACAGAATTTCATGGTCTCACTTAGAAATTTACACATCCATGTTGTGAAATTTAGGAACAGTATCTGACATATTGCTATGGTTTAATCCCCCCACCCTTTTCTAGTATCTGTTTTGTATGAAAACACTTCCACAAATGCATTAATTATTATGTATCTTTAATTTGCAGAAATGTTTTGGGATGAAAGGTGCTGCATAACTGTAAAATATTACTTTGCTTCACTCTGCTTAATTGGGAGAGCTGCTTTATTGTAAATCTCCCAGGAATCAGGTTTAGCCTAATGAAAGTTAGCTGCTTGGATCTGATTCTTAAACGACCTCATGTCATATAGAGTGTAACTAATACAGCATGATTTATTGCATGACTAAAAGATGAATAGTGCTAAGTGATTTTCAAAAGAGAATCTTTAAAACTCTATCATCCATCCTTCCATCCATCCATCATCTATTATCTATCTATCTATCTATCTATCTATCTATCTATCTATCTATCTATC